AGCTGCTTTTAAAATCTTTGAATAATACCCCCCCCCCCAAGACACATTTCCACTCTAATTAATAGAGCCAAATATGCAGTATGTAAATTTTGTTGTGTGAGTTGTTGAGTCACAGGTATGAAAATTCTTCAGTACAAATAAATTGCTATCAAAATTATATGGTGATGTGCCCCTCCCTCGCCCCCAGCTGTTTAGTGTCACCCTCTCCGCCGTGCAGGTAATTACCCCGTGAATCTCACCGCGGTGCCCTGAATGGGTGCCAGCAGGCTTTTTCCCAGAAGGCTCAGCTGATAAAATCAAGAGCATAAGTAATCAGTCTATTTCTAGCCTTAAATATTCAACCAAGAGGGTCTAATGTAGCTGGCGCCGTACGCAAGGGTCAAGATGTAAAGACGGCGTTGCACCTGTACATGGAATAGCTACATACAGCAACAGATGTTACCTTCAGCATGTTCGGTCACACCCAGCATGACGAACAGCAAACGAGTACAAATAATGACTAGAAAACAGAAAATAGACGTTGCTATAGTAACGCTTAAGAAATTACGAGTCACATGAGGTACAAGAGCAAGTAATAGTGCAATTTCTTTTGGGATTAATACAGTTTCTGTGTATATATCTATCGAGCTCTTCCAGGTTTGACTGTCGATGATCCAGGTGAAGGAAGCTGTTTCGGTGGTGGAAAAGAAACTCAATTTTAATACTGCCTTACACTGAAAGTAAAAGTGTGTGGTTCAGCGGGCTAAGTCTGCCTGTGGTCGGAGCGTTACCAGTTTGAGTCCCGACTTAGTCATAATGTGCGTGAGAACCTGAGCGAGGCCCCTAACCCCCAGGTGCAGGGGTGACCCTGCGATGTGACCCCCAAGCTTGTCGTCACCTGTATGTGTGTCTCATGGAGAGCAAGATGGGGGTCGGTGGAAAGAGAATTTGCCCACGGGGATTAATAAAGTATCTCCATTGTAGAAGTACAGATACCACAAAACAAAGCTACTCAGGCGAAAGTCATCCAATAAAATACTGCTCAAGTAAAAAAAGGCAAAATTCCTGATTTAAAAGTACTTAAGCAAAAATACTATACATTCTAATCTATTGATCTTAGAAAAAGCAACATATTCTTTTAAATTCACTGACAAGTTAAGACAATATAGCACTGCTCATTAGAATGCAACACTCTATCTGAGTCGCATATTTTCTTTTAATTAAGGAAAAGCTGCAAAAAAGCTACGTGCACTAAGTATGGTAATGGAGTATTTGTTCCTCTATACCTCTGACTGTTCCTGAACATGGCAGCCTGGGCTGGGTGCTATGAAGCCTCCCGTCAGACTCCAGGGAATATAACCAGGTGCCCCTTTTGTAAATGCCCTCCCAGGGCAGGTGCCAGGTGCCTGTGAGTTTCCAGTTCCCTCTGGGAGGTGCGCTGGTCGTGTACTTTGGGCAGCCTGGTTCAAAGCAGCAGAGCAGAAAATAAAGCCTGATAGAGGACTGGAAGTGTTTAGGCTGGAGGTGAAACCTAGGAAATGAAGGAGGCATGGAGGGAGCAGAGACGCACCCAGCCATGCAATAGACCCTCTGCTGTTAGCAAAAAAAAAAAAAAACTGCCTGTGTAATAATGAGCCTGACCACCAGGGGGCAGTCTTTTAGGTGAAGGGGAGCCTGGGAGGATGCAGAGAATGATAACGGAAACTCTGTTCTGGGGTCCCTGGGTTCTGCACTCACCATTGCATCCAGCAGTAAGAAATACAGAAAACAATCACCATCACGCAAGTTCCCTGCCTGAAATCTCATCAGTTTATTAGCAGATAGTTCCTGCAACATTACATAAATGGCGCTCAATATTCTTTGAAACTTAAAATAATAAGCCACGGGCCATCTCTTACTTTGACAGGGGAAAATATAGGCTTATTAGTCACTGATTTTAATGATGAAAGACTTAAGGACTTTCCAGTGCAGTCAGGCAAACAAAACAAAAAAGGTCATCCAAATGAAAAAGAAGATTAAGGTCTGCCTTAAGCTGTCCTTCTTTTTATTGCTCCAGAATTCTGTGTTATAAGGAAATCTTTTTTATTAATTTTTTTTATAGTAACTGTGTGCTGTGATTTCACTGTTTCTTTTGATTAAGAAGGGCAGTTGGGTATGACATTAACATAAGCATGGCAGGCCAATGGAAAGAAAAACAGCCATTTTAGTGACTATGGGTGTGTGTGTGTGTGGGGGGGGTGGCAAAGGGTACTGGTTCAGAAAAGGGTTATGGGGGAGTGCTGGTTGGGCACTAAGGCTCAGGCATGTTTACTGGGGGTGAGAGCAAAGTCCTCAGCATTTCGGATAAATTAATGGTTATTTTACAGTATATGTTATTTCTATTCCTCTGCAGTGTTTCCGTGTGAATCCCTCGTCAGACCATAACCACTCGCTGGGAATTTTGCCAGTATCATCCATCAAATCCCTAACAGTCTAGATTGTCTGTCAGCAGAGTCTTTTAGAAATTATTATTTCAATCACTATTGATGTCACCCCCCCTTAATATACAAAAAGTGCATTAGTAGGACATAATTGTCTAACATATGCATTAAGAATGACGATACAGTTAAAATTTATGCATAAGAAATTACAGTAGAAAAACATGTTCTTTAAAATGATTGGAAGATGGATATATAGATGTATGACAGTTCATCTTCCCATTGATTTCTTCTGATGAGGGCTGTGATCGGATGGATGAAAATAATAATAATAATAATAATAATAATAATAATAATAATAATAATTGCTAGGAACAGGACGGGAAGAGGCCTGGAGCTTCTAGGTCACCTAGTCCGCTTAGAAAGAGGAATTACTTTTAAAATGCTTTAAATTTTCATTAAAAGAGCCAGGTTTGTTCACCAGAGACCCAATAACATGTTTGCCACTGCCACCTGCTGGTGCAGTGCAGTTACTGCATGCAGCGTGGCACTGGCCCCTTCAGGTGTTTTGCAAGGTGGCAGATGCCGACCTCATGAAAGACGATGGGTGGGGCTTGAGTCTGGAATGGCCAATAGCAGGAAGAGGAGGGGGTGTTTACCTCACCTCTCCTCCAGAGCCACTGTCTGGTTTTGCTTTCCTGTAAGTTTCACTGCCCAGTGCAGGAGAGTAGGGTTATGGCTGTTATGTAAGGCGTGGGGTTGTTATCATACAATAATATTTGCCCTGTTGAAACTGTATCTAAACTGCCAAGGACACACAGTGAAAGAACACAGAATGGAATAGTTTTATTTCTTCTCAAGCCTGACAGACGCTTACACAACAAGGGCCCTGTCAGGCCAGTCAACTCCCACTGAAATCTCTGAGCGGAATGGCAGGACGGCGGCGCGACACCTTGTTTGGCCACGAGAAGTGAGTGAGACTGCAATACTTCTTCCTAATCTTCTGTAAAAAAGAAAAGGAGTGTGGATGAGAATCACACTTAGAGGAATGTGAGAAAGGCCCACATAATCACCTTCACGGTTCGCCGTCAGTAAGGACAAACCCAGGAAGGTCTGTGTGAGACGGGGAGGGGAGCGGATGTTTTAGGGAGCAGCGCTCACCTGCAATTAGTTACTGACTTCCGCCAGTGTGAGGCAGCCTTTCCTCTGGATGGAGTGAGTCACCTGAGAGCCGCAAAGGCTGGGGAGCCAAGCAGGGAACGAATGCTGGGTCCCCTCTGGTCACCACCTGCATCTTTCCTGTCAGTGCATTGTAGATTTAGAGCAATTTAGAGCTGAAATTCCCCCCCAATCCCATTCTCCCAGCTCCCATAACCGGCCTGTAACCAGCCTTGGGGTAGGCCCAGCTTGGGACTGTGTGGACCAAGCTCACCCAGGGCCTTCTCAAGCCGGGCATGATGTGGCCGAGGGCAAAGGGACTGTCACCCATTGGCTGATCACCCTGAGTAAGGTGCTTAATCTGAATTAGCAGTCAAATATGCAGCTGTATGACTGGTTAAGACTGAGAGCAGATTTCAGTGGAAGTCATCAGCTGACCTGTGTGGTGAAAATCTTAATAATTGACAGGAGAAGAGCAAAGTGACATAAAAACTGACAGTGAGTTACACAGGTGGTGGGAAGCTGGAAAGAGAGAGAGGGAGAGAGAGAGGGAGAGAGAGAGGGAGAGTATGAAGCAGACACTTCTCCCCCATAAAGGTTCCGTCTCTCAGCTCGCCAGCGTAACACATATTGCTTAGACTGAAGCTTCCTGCATACAGCCTGGTTGGACACCAGTGCTGCGCTCTGCAAGGCTGCGGGTTCGATCTCTGGTCCCAGAGCCGTGACTCTGTGCTGTCTGGGTTCTGTGCTGTTCCTGAAGGCCTTACTGAGCTCCCGTGCGGTTAGGTGTATAGTAGCTGTGAACGGTGTGTGAGTGTGTGTCCTGTGAGGGACTGGCACCCCATCCACTCTGCCCCCCACCCTGTGCCCCCCTGCCGCCTCACCATCAGACTGTCCCAGATATGACCACATTATTTCATTGCTGTTATTTTATATTGGAATATATTGCAAGAAAAAGATAAATAAATGTAATAATTATGTAAAACAATCCTGCTAACAAACCTGCCACCATTCAAACACACCCACATGTCTGAAGTGTCACTTTATTTTAACATGGAGTGTTATAAATATGGTTTAATTTGGCTGAATAGAGATGGATGTGCAGTTATAGTTTCAGTGTCACGGGTGCTAATCGGGCAGGTTATGCCTCTGAAGCTGTAGTTCCTCTCCATTCATACTGCACTTCTACCTGCTGAGCAGTAGGTGGCGCTGTAGACGGTTAGCGGGTCACGTACTGGGCCTCCTCTATCTATGCTTCTGTAAGGCCCACTTCAGGTGTCACGTGACCAAAAACACCCCTTTAAAAGCCGACAGGCATGCCGTTCACATCCGACCGCAGGCCAGATACGTTATTTGACATCACGCTTCACAATCATCCGCATCGTGCATCACATGTGATTTCCAGACCTACTCAGACGCCAGCATCCCAAAGAGAAACGTGACTGATTCTGTCCGTACAGTGATTTATTAAAGCAAAACAGCATAACAAAATCAAGATTACAGCAATAAAACATGGTTTCCAGAAATCAATAGTTACCAAACATTCTTATCAAGAAGAACAAAGCCCCCGCTTCAAATAAGGTTGTAAATGCAAATATTAACACTATTTACAGAGGAGGTTCATGCTACCATCACAGCCCTACATCCCCTGCGAGGTCTGGGGTGGGGGTGTCGGCATGATGGGGAGACCCAGGCGCTTCTTTATGAAGTGGGACACCAGGCACTGGGGGCGCTGCTGGTACTCCAGCAGCACATCATGGGGGGTGGAGATCTGGTCGCCCTCGAAGCGGTCCAGAAGAGTCACGCAGACGACCGCCGCTGGAACAGGCCACAGTTTGTCCTCGTGAGGACCAGGGACCAAGAGTCATGGGGTGACACCAAAATACAGCGAAGCATCACCGAGTAGTTAGGAATGTCATGAGTAGGTGGCGGGGGGGGGGGGGTGGCACATGCCATTAAGTGGTAAGCTTTATTATTATTATTATTATTATTATCCAGTATGTGTCTCTTTTCCCCAGCACAAAATGCAATGTTCCCGTTTGCCTGTGTGATGTTCCCGTTTGCCTGTGTGATGTTCCTATTTGCCTGTGTGATGTTCCTATTTGCCTGTGTGATGTTCCTATTTGCCTGTGTGATGTTCCCGTTTGCCTGTGTGATGTTCCCGTTTGCCTGTGTGATGTTCCCGTTTGCCTGTGTGATGTTCCC